TTTTTTTTTTTTTTAAATCATTATTATTATTATTATTGTCATTTTCTGTAGTTAAACGCATTTATCTGTTTTGAAAGCCTCTTATTGATTGATTTATATACTGTTTTTCGCATTTTAGTAAAGTTACTAAATATATTTACTGTCTCTTTATCTAATTTGTTATTATTATTATTATTATTATTATTATTATTTCAAGAAAAAGCTAACTCAACTATACTTACACAGGCAAAAAAGAAAAATATATAAATATTTTTTCTATTTTTCTTTTTTTTTCTTTTTAGCATGACTTTCAATCATATTGTATGTAATTTAGCGAAACATTAAAATTTAGAAAAAAATTTACTTCTTTTCTTTTTTTTTATTCTGCTAAAAACTATATGCTCAGTAAGAGGTAAAACAAAACTAAAATAAATAAAAACAAAACCAATGAAAGTAAGAAATAAAAAAAAAAAGAAGGTAGTTTTTAAGTTTAAGACATGCAAGGGGAGAAAATATATATATTTTTTTAAATAATATCTGATTATTAAAACAAAATCTATTTTTAATTACACATTAGGTTACATATATGTACATATACGTATATATATATATATATATATATATATATATATGTATGTGTGTGTATGTATATATATCTCATGTTATTGTTAGAAAACAGAAATACCGTTTACTGTTAACATCTCATGGTTTGTACTCAAAAGTGCGAAAGAGCAAAGCGAATTTCTTTACTTGACTTACAAAAGGAATGCATTTGTAAAACACATTATCGAATAGTGTTTAAAATTTCTTTCCATTTCTAGTTCACATTATATTTTGCAAAAATTTAAAAAAAAAATCATCTTAACCGGTAAATCCTTTTAAACTAGTTTTTTTAAAAGAATTACTTGTAGAGATTATGCATTACGGTCGGTCACTGGCGTACCTTAAAGTACCCTAAATAAATTAAAGCGGTCCCCATCTGAACCATTCTTAATAGTTTTCGTCCTATCGCAAAAATTGCCATCTATATGTTGACACGTACATCACACGGACAGACGGACAATTAAGTAGAATCACTTTCTGAATCGATTTATATAATAAAGCATGAGTCTATCTGGGTATTGTATACATCCGCACAAACTTAATACCGCAATTGGTGTAGAGTATAAAAAATTGGCATTGCAACTATATTTTAGGACCTTAGTTGAAAAATTAATTTTTTTTTTCTTGGTCCCTAAATATATGCTTAGTAATCTCCTCGAATGGTAACATTCTAGTATTTTTCATAATATGAAAAAAAAAACTGCTTTTTTACGCTGTGGTAGACCGGGTTCCAAACAATGGAAAAAAGGATCCCATATTTTCCAAGTTTATATATTTTATGGAAAGCAACTGAATTGTAAAATGAATTAAATTTTTATTGCCTTTGCATATAAATAATAACGCTACGTGTTTATAGTAAGGCGTTCAAAATGCGCAGTCTAGGGGCGGAAACTTTAACATTTATGAACTCTTTGCAAACGAATGTTTTAGGCAAAGTTTTTTTGGAAAAAGCTTACTCAACTTTTCGAAACTTAAACGTTATTGCTTGCCACACGTGCTATGAAATGTCCAAGATTTTAAAAATCTTTTCTTACGTCTACCGGAAATGCCTATCCCTTTAGCTCAGAATCCTAGCTTACGAATATGATCCGAAATGGTTTTAGCCAGCAAGCTCTTCTACAATCTCTGATCTCGTTAAAAAAGGATTTTGCTCTAACCTAATCTAAACGGTTATCGTCGCCGATCGAAGATGGTCGGCCAATGCAGTCGTAAATGTTCACCAAACACTTTTAAGAAATTTGTAAACGCCTTCTTAACATTTCTCCCTAGTTGTTATTACTTCGGTTTTAATTTATAGACTAAGCACTTCTAAATATACTAAGAGTGTTTCGGTCCAATGAGTAAAGCAAGAATATAGAAATACGAGAGGAGACACTTGCCTATGTCTTATACTGCAAATCGGTTTAGTTTTAATTTTCATTTATTAAATAAAAATGCATTCCTTTTCAACACACAACACTTGATTGTAACTCCATTAATATATATGTATATATATGTAATCTTGTTATTCTTGTTTGTTTTGGTTAAAAAAAAAAAAAGAAGAAATGAACACCTTTTGAGGATTATATTAAATATTAATTAAAAAAAGCAAGAAAAAATGTAAATTAAAAAAAAAAAAAAAAAAAAATAAATAAATAAATAAATAAATAAACCAAAAAATTGTGTTAAAAATATTTTGGCATATTGTACAGTAAAAAAAAAAAAAAGGAAGGAAAGTACTGCTACTTAATTATATATATATATATATGTATTTGCATATATGAATTTATAAAGGATATATAATTTGTATACACTGTTTATATAATATATATGTAAAAATAGTTTCATTTTTTATATATATATACCGACTAGAATTGTATGATAAAAAAAAAAAAAAAAAAATGATATAAAAGAAAATAAAAAGTTCTCAACTTACCATCAATGTTATCCGTCTGATCTAAAGGTAATTGCTTAGCGTCATTATGATCTTCTCTCGTATCAGTTACTTGCAATGCATGATGACTCGATAATAGTGATGACATATCCTCAGGATGCAATTTTAAACCTCCGGTCTTTTTTTGTTAATTTAAAGAAAAAATGCCAAAAATTGTAGTTTGTTTTTTGTTTTTGTTGTTTGTTTCACTTTACTTTAAACTATAAATTATTATCAATATTAATAATATAATAGAAAAAAATTTATATTAAATTATTCATTTCATCTACGCTCTATACATACATGTATATATATATATATATATATATATATATTTACAAAGTGCTTCAAACCATTTAAAATGTAACAGAAAATATAAAAAAACAAAGAAAAAAAAAAAAAAAAAAAAACGCAATAAAAAATCGAATTTTCATTACCCACCACCTCAAAAATGGGGATCGTTCAGATACTTCTCATAAATTTCAAATACGTAGTTGCTGTTAGATCTATGCTCTTGCCGGAAATACATATATTCATCAAAAGAAAATAAAAAAAAAAAACAATAAATGATAAGAGGATACTAAGAAAACTACGACGTCGTGCGTGATCTTGTCGCTGCTGAATGCCAAAACAAATCTTTGTAAATTCCTTTCCATCAGGGGGTTCTTTGTCCAAGTTCTTGAGTACACTATCGAATTGATCGGTCTTTATAAAAGAGAAGCCACCGAGTTGTATTCCTTTTTCCCTGGGACTATCGTTACTGATGTGTCTTGAATATGTGTTAGGAGAACTACTATGAGTACATTTAGATCCCTTCTATCAAAGCCAAGATTTTCTTCTTTCTGTTTCAACTCTGTGATTAAACAATAGACGTTAATTTTTCATAGGATAAAGCATTCAAGGAATCTGTCCTAACATTTTCAGCAAGAAGTGAAAGTGGAGCGACTTATAAAAGGGCCGCAAATTGTGAAATGTGTGGCTGTTTGGGAAGATAAGTTCTTATGCCTTTACGAGCACACGTCAATCGTAATTAAAGCAGTTAATATTGAATTCTGCCATGTCAACTTAATGGTCGAGTTTTTTTTAACTACTGGTTTATATGATAACCGCAATAAACTTTGCAAGCACATGATTTCTTATGACAAGAAACTTTATACATTTCAAGTAATTAAATATTTTTGCTTACGCAAAACCGCAAAGCTACACTGGAAGTGTTTCAAAAATTTATCAAAATTTTCATTGTTTTCACTACGCATTTAGGGGCAGATGGTATTTATTTCCCGATCCGGGAGGTGTATGCATCACAGTAAAGGTGATGCGAGTTAAATTTCAAGCTTTGCGGTTATGTGGACTCGAGTCAACGAAGGAATAGAACACACACTCCCGCGTGTGTGTGTTAATTTAATAAAATATATAACCCGGTCAAGTAAAAGTATTATATATTTTTTAACGTCTTACATCCACACTTTTGATATTTGTGTTCGGTATTGATTGCCGCCATACGCAGTTGTATGGTGTATAGCGAAATTGTTTAAATTTACGACAAAAACATTATAGTAGACCGCAGTCTATCATTAAATACCCTACAACGACTTTTCAAAATAAAACATTATATGAAAAGTAATCGAAGAAGTGTGGTCCAATCTGAGCAGCGTTCTGCCTTGAGCCAAAAGAAGTTGTCGTGCCCTTGAACACGCATACACAAAGGAGACGGAAAGACAGACGGACGGACGGACGGACAGACAGACAGACAGACGGACGGACAGACAGACAGACAGACAGACAGACTCAGCTTAGGCAGACTGTATTCAGATTACGTTTCATGCATGTGGAAGCACGCATGAAGTTCGCGGCCTGATTAATCAAGGACATTAAACCTTTGTGGTTCGTAAAAGACTTTTAGATGGTTTGTGGACTAGAAATGTCATGGTACTGCAATTATTCTCAATGTAAAATGCTACAGATCTGAAATTAAATGATTTCGATTCGGGAAATTCTCAACAAGATGCGTAAACATATGCCATACACTTCGTGATACGATCAATTTATTGACAGTAAATTTCAATGAGCGTGCAATGAGTATATGTTACACACTTTAGTAGATCCTTGATGCGTATAACTAAGTTCAAAAGAAGGTAGATTCATCTTGGTATACATCCGTTCTTTGGTAGTGGGTATAAACGTATTGAAAATATTAATTGCTTGAGTAAATTTTGTTTTTTTTTGTTTTTTTTTTTCATTTTTTAAATTCTGTTCGCAAATAAGACCCTGAGCTAATTCCTACTATACAATATTTGTTCAGGTATGTCCTAGACTATGTAGTTGGGTTGTCATCACCCAAGTTAATGGTTATTATTTCTTTTGATTTACTCCTTAAATTAGATTCAGTTTTGCTTAAATTCTCATTATCGGAGTCCTTTTGTTTGTTGCTAGTAATTTTCTGTTGTTGCGTTTCTTGCATTTCGCGTTCGTAGCATAAACGATGAGATTTGCATTTGTTGTGATGATTAACAATTTCAAGGCGGAAATTTGAATTGCCTTCGACGAACGATGTTCGTATATCGGGCAATTCACTAGACCATCTACGACAGAATTTACAATACATGGTATTCGAGTTTTCATCGTATTGCAGCCAATCGTAAAGGAAAAGCCAATTAGTACGAAATCTGCCACTTTTGCGTGCGCTAGTATTTGCGCTTGGCAAAGAGCTACTGGTGCTTAATGGACTTGACATGGGATGAGTTAAATTGCTATGTGTGCTTGTCGCTACGGCAGAACGTGATGTAGATGCGTCAGTATTGTAAATATTCGGGTTAGGAATTTCGCATGTGGAAGCCATTAGAAATTGCTGCTGCTGCTGCTCTTGTTGCTGATGCAGTAAACGTTGTATTGTTGTCGTAGCAGCCATTTCAAGATCGACTACGTTTTGTTTCCAAGTATTTTTGAAATGTTGCTGAGTTTGTTGTTGCAATCGTTTAAGTTGCACTTCAACCGCCTGTTGAAACATAAGATTTTGTTGCTGTTGCTGATGTTGCTGTTGATCATGTTGTTGTTGCTGCTGTTGTTGCTGTTGTTGTTGTTGTTGTTGTCTCTGATAATGTTCAAACTGTTCGTGCTGCAATTGCTTAGCGGTTTTATTGACAACAAGATTGCTTCGTGTTGCGTCATTAAAGGATTTGAGATTAGTCTTGTGCTTCAATTGATGCAATTGTTGTTGAGGATTATCGAGATTAATTGTGGTCTTTATAACGGCAATTATTAACGAAAAATTTTTGTGTTTTTTTTTGTTTTTTTTATTTTTTTTTTGTTATGCGAAATAAAACAAAAACAAAAAAAAACAAAGAGAAAAATTAAAGAAAAAGCAATTAAAACTCAAGAAAAAAGTAAATTTTTTTTCTTTCTTTAAGTTAATTAATAAACAAATAAAATAAATAAGGAAGGATTATTGTGCTAAATGTTTCTATGTAACTTTAAGTTTATGTTTGTGTATAATATTTATTTATGTTCGTTCATAATTTAAAAAGTAAAGCTTTCTTATTTTTTTTTTTTTTTTTTTTTTGTTTCTTTTCATCTGGGGTTTTGAATTTTCAACAAAATCATGAATAGATTTTTGAAATTTTTTGTTTAGATTTTTTCTTTTTCTCGGCCGATATTATTTATTGTTTTCTCGTTTCCTTCTTTAAATCTCAATAATCCTTCACTTTTTATTTGATCATTAAATAAAACTTTTTTCCAGAGTTTTGATTTTTGTTTCTCTTTTGTCTTTTTTCTTTTCTCCTTTTTTTTTTTTTTTTTTGATTTTTTGTTCCACACATTTCGTCAAAAGGTTTGAAGCAATTTGCAAAGTCATTTCTTCAATTTTATAAATTCTAAATAAAAGCAGGTTTTTCAATATACAACAAAAAAAAAAAAAAAAAAAAAAAAAGAAAAGAGGATAAAAAAAAAATAATGAATTGGAACCACCGTACCGGTCCAAAGAAAAAACCTTAACAAAATATTTATGTAAATAGTAAAAAAAGGGAAACTTTGTACAAATAACTCATTGAATTGCTATTTAATGCTCTTTTTTTTAACTTTATTGTTTCTTCTCAAAAGTGTTCATAAACATGTTGCTGATGTGTTGCTGATTAACGTGTAATGTTAAATATGCACAATTTAAGAGAATTAAGCTTCCACTAAAAAAGTTAAACAGTAGAACGGATATGATTGCGGTCAAGTTCCCACCCAAGCTAGAGTTGAAAACATTTTTCGACAAGATCACGTATTATATCGAAACGTTATTTTGATACGCAACATGTTGCTGCAATAAAAACTCTCCTTAACCATTTGTGGTACAAGGGTATATTAAGTTTGTGCAAAGCAGGACTTCGGATAGACCTACCAGTTTATTCTACTAGTCGATTGAGAATCATTTTCTGAATCGGTCTAAACTTATCTGACCACCTGACTATCTTGTTTGCTTGTGTTCAACCTACGAGCCGGAAATTTTGAAATTTTTTGTTGAAATTTCGTACAATGACCTGTGTTTGGCCCCAGGGTGAACGCTAATGGAAATGTTCCACATTGGGCCACGTTTTCCGACCACCACCTTTAGCGAAAATGCATTTCAAGCAAATGGAAAACACTGTAGTAATAACAATGATTCATAGAATATTCAATCATTCATATAAAGCCGAAAAGATGCTCTGACTAAAACAGGCGCTAACAAAACTGGCATAGCCAAGGATAGATAGCGTTAGATAATTTGTGGGAAAACTGACTACAGAAAGATGTAGCTTGGGTAAGTGTTCATTGAAGCTAGAACTAACAAGAAAAGGAATAATCCAAGACATTTGTCTAAAATGGTTGATTAAGAATAATTCAAGAAAAAAATTGTGATGATATGGAGAAAAGCTCAAGAAGGGAGAGTTCAGAATGATTTGGATAGGTTTATTTGTCATTGTCATAAAAGTGTTAAAGTCCTTGTTATTCAAAATCTAAATATATATATAGTTAGCCTTAAGACTGACTATGATAATCAAGAAGATATTTATGATCAATCATTTGTAACGTGGCATGCAGATATCATATGCGAAAGAAATCTTCTCCAGCAACATGTTTATGGAAACATTATTGTAACATTTTTTTTTAAGTAAATTAGAAACATGCAATCATTCCACAATTGTTTTATACAAATTTAGAATATTAACAAAAGAACTTACCGGCAAGTAATCGGGTGGCAAAGAAACATGATGTTCACGTTGTTGCTGTTGCGCATCGATCAATTCCTGTTTAATACTCAACGATTGATTTAAACCCATACCACCAGCGGAAGCGCTTACATTACCGCCACTAATGCCACTCACTGATAAAGGCGAGTCATGACGACCACCGGAATCCTCAGTTTCTGATGTATTACCACCGCCACCTATGCCACCGCCACTATTTGGTTTTGGCACGGGACTTGCTTTAAAATTACTGTGTGAGGATGCCTATAATGGGAGTGAGTTGAAGCAGAAGGTCATCATAACATTTTTTTTTTTTTTTAATATAATAATAATAATAATAATAGAGTAAATTATTTGTAAAAATTTTGTAAAACAAACAATACACTGATAAACTCAACTACATATTGAGAACTATATAAGAAAAATTGTAACAAATATTTGCGTTCACTGATAACGTGACCCAATTCTCAAATGCTTTAAATTCGGTCACGTGCAAAATTTAAAAAAAAAAAAAAAAAAAAAAGAAACGACTGATAACGCTTAACACTTTCACTTGCGAATGTATTGAGCATGTATTTTAATAACCGCTTGATTTGTTTTCTCAAGTCTAAAGTAAAATAGGGTGTTTTACTTATTATTATTGTGTCTTAAATTAGTGGCGTTTTTATTTGCACGCCAGATGAGCCTACGGAAGAGCGAGCTAAGTGACGACCAAGATTTAAATCGTTCATAGAAAAATGTGCATACTTTTGCCGAATTTCGGATTCTTAGAAAGCCTTTATCCTTAATTGACGACTGTTAAAAGTAAAGTCGGCTTCGAACGAATTTTATAATGCGTCGACTTAAACAATTACTTATTAATTCTGAGTGTATCAGCGAACCGCTTTAGAGCGGTAGCTTAGGCTACTCTTGCCATCGAATCGAAATTATTTAATAAAACTAAACTGAAAATTGTTTTTCTTGGCTAATTTTTGAACAAATTCCCACTTTTAAGACGGACGGACGGAAATAACGCGAACTAAACATTGCTGCTTTTAAATAGAATATTACCATAATTAGGATTAAATTCTTTTTATAGATTGGAGCTAGTGCTTGCTTCTGTATGCTGTAAAAGCTTTGACTAACTTAAAATTCCGTTATATTTCAACGGTTAATAGCATAAAGGGATATTAATTATATGATATTTAATAATATTTAATAAACATTTTTTGCGCTAAGTTTTGACTTTGCATATCCATGACAATTGTGCAAACGAGTTATTATTTTTACACAGATTATGTATTTAGTCTGAAGTTTTTTTTTTATTATTTTTTTAAAACGTTTATGTTCTATAATTAAATAAACTAATACCCTATTATACTAATTTGATGAAAAATATTTAATCCAAAAAAGATTAACATACACCTGCACGTTTGTATACCGGTGATGAGCATATTCATTTTGTCAAAACGTTTGCAACGTCCAGAAAGTAACATTAAAGACCCCCCCCTAAGGTGTATATATTCATGATCAGCATCAACACATGTCTGTCCATCTGTATAATGTCCGTTGTATAATTTTTCCTGGCCGCATTATTAAGCTATTGACTTCAAATTTGGCGGAAACATTGATAGGGTCTTGCACGCAAGTTGATATAGAAAAGAGGTCAAATCGATCAAAGGACACGTCCACAGCACCACGTGAACTGAGAACACCTCTGTTCTTCAAAAGATATTGAAAATTGACTTTTTGCTTATTACAAATTATAGTTGATAAATATATCATATCATTTGTACGCGTAGTCTAGGGCCAAAGCTATTTTACCCATAAAAAATGGAAGAAATTGAGCAAGCCTACTCCACATTATAGTGTATCAAAAATTTCTTTTTTCAGTAGCTTTGTAAGACGCAGAAGAAAGGTCGAAAAATCCCATAAATCCATCGGGCAGTTTGTCAGCTTGTCTGTCCTTCTGTCCGTCCGCACAACTGTGCTATCACTGATATACATTCTCACCTTAGCAAAAATGATAATATCGCCTAAGAATTTACAGAAATATTTGGAAGTTATCTAAACTTTTCAAAGAGCCCGCCTACAACGCCCACACGTCTATGCGACAAAAACTTTTATTTTGAAAATTAAAAAAAAAAAACTGCACCCAATCCATATTACAAGTCATGAAAATTTTGTTCATCTAGATCTTTTGTCTTTTTTAGGATAACGGTGATGGATATAAAAGATTCGGTCACCGCCGAATATAATTTTCGTACTTGTTTTAATTAATTTAAATGTGAGCATTATTTGCATTGTTTGCCTGTTACTACAAGTGTTTTAATTATTGCAATGTTTTGAAAATAGTTTTTGGCCTATTGCGTGGCAATGGAAGCTTACCTGAGAGTCTTGAGTGTAATGCCTGTCCTGTACATTTGCGTTTGGGGTCGAGGTCAACGAATTATCACAGTTGGATGAGTTCTTACGTCTTCGCTTATTACTACTACTTATGTGCTCCACCGGTGTGGTGGACATTTCCCTATCACGATCTCTCTTTGACTTGGTACTATAGTCGAGTTGCATCAAATCATCACGACTGTCAACACGTTCACGTTCCGTGCTACCACTGCCACCATTATCGTTGCCGCCTGCGCCTCGTTCGCTGCCTCGATCGCTGCTTGCGTCACCGCGCGTATTTAGAACATCGACACTGGCGCTACGGCTGGCTGCAGCTGCAACTGCGGCCGCGACCGCTGCTGCTGCAGCACTTGCACTACCCACACTAGGAGATCGTTCACCGCTGGTTAAACCCAATGCAGCAGCAGCTGCGGATTGCAAACTGGCATTACTACTAGCTGCAGCAACTGCCGCAGCAGCAGCTGCTGCTGCCGCCGCCGCTGAGCTACGTTCACTTAGACTACTACTGCTACGGTGCGAGTGTAAATCTTCACGCAAATCTGCGCGACTATCATGCATAGGATCACGATCGCGGGACTGACGTTCACCACGCATACCGATGCCACCGTATGTAGGCCGGCCAGTAGGTGAGGAAGCTGCGGAATCGCGGTGTTTGTCAAGTTCCGAAGGATAATTCAAATTATTATTATCTGTAAGACCGCGTACCTGGAATTGAAATTAAAAAATTTTTCATTAAAATTTATTATGTTTCGCCCGTATTTTTGAATTTATGTAGAATTTTTTTTTTTTTGTTTTTTTTTTTTTTTTTTTTGTTATTTAAAAAGTACCAACCTGTAGGCTTTCGGCTGTTTTGAGAAACATCGGCAAAGAACTTTGACCAACATTTACTTCGCCCTTGTACATAAAATCGAGCAGGGAACGCATTTCTGAATATCTGACATCTTTCAAATAAATGATGGGATGTGGATGATGATTCTGCAGGAATATGGTTTCGAAATATGGGCTGCATGCTGATAGTATAGTTTGATGTGCCTGTAGAATGAAAAACAAAAAAAAAAAAAACCAAAGAAAATCAAAATGACATTTTGTACAAAAAGTGTTTGTTAAACACACACATACATTAATTCTTATGTTTTTTTTCATACAATTATTTAAATTGACTTTTACATGCTATTAGAAGCTGTCTGTAACCTGTCACCTGTTAAGCAGATATTTATTTATGTATTTATGTATGTCTGCTTTCTCTTCTTTTCACTGTTCTTTTTTTTTGTTTTTTGTATACAAGAATAAAACATGACTTTGCCTTTTACCTAGAACTTTTTATAGAAATATTAAGTCACCGTTTTTACCGTAAGCTACTTGTTGCTCCTGGTAATATGGTGTGTCACGTAAGCGTGCTTGCTTGCTATTTTCTGACAGTTCCTTTCATGATGAATCGATGCTGTCTGATAACAGATTATTCTTTCAAGGCAATGAGTTCGTGGCTGTTGGTTTACAACGGAACAATTTGTTTATATTGTTTATAGCTTCCACTTGTTTGTAAGTTAACAATGATGTATTGCGATATCGTTAGATTTAATGAAACAAGCAAGCATGCAACTGGTTCCGGAATATGAACTTTTACTTGCATTAAATATAATAATAAATAGATTTGTAAATTTTACAATAAGTACATGAGATGTGCTTCAGTTTCTTGTTCACAGTATGGGCGTTTGTTTCGTTCGGCCAATTCTTCGAAGAATTTATAGCATATTAACATATCTTAGATTATGATATCCTATGAGCAATTTGTGGGGAAAAACTTTACGAGGTTAAGAGTTCTTTCTGCAATAGTGGGCTTTAGATTTTATTCACATAAATCTAATAACTTTGAAAAATGTTTACCTGCTTTAAACGAATTAGATAGCAGACGATCGATCGTAAGAATAAACTAAGTGAGAACCTCATCTAAATCAAGTAATCTGTCCGATAATATGTTTTACATTCGATTAACTTCTTTTTTATATACACAATAATAAATAAAACTTAAATCAAGTAATTAAAATCCGTCCGAAAATATGTTTTACATTTCAATAACTTTTTTTTTTATGTACGCAATAAGTAAAGCTTAAACCAAGCTGTTCTAAATAACAGAGATTATTGATCCCACTGTACAAAGACAATGCCGTGTATATAGAGTTTAAATAGATGGACATGTATTATGCAAATTTACAAAATTCATTGAATTCATGAATTTGTTGAGAATAGGTAACGCACAGCTGGTGAAAGCTTTGTGGCAGGTACCGTCTCTGTAAAGTTGATTAGTATTTCGAAAGTATTACAGAGTAGAATATGTACAGCCTTCGATAATGTAATGGATTTTTTTTACTATCGAATGAAAAATCTTTCGATCATTAGATCACTATCGAATGACAAATTCAAATTACGATCGAGTTTACTCGTTATCGAGAACTATAAATCAGCACATGGAAACCTATAATCTTTGTAAATAATGAATGCTTTCATGGTTAATCTGCTGCCCTGCTTTGCTAGTTCTTTTAAGGTAACTTTGATTTGATAGCTAATAAGAAAATAATTATGTGAATTTTATTATGAATAAATTTTGTAAATAACTAGCGATGAAAGAAAGTCAGTCGCACAAAATATTTTCATTTGAATTTTTATATAATGTATTCTCACCTTAACTGTGTTACCTTCGCAGGCTAATGTTACATCGCAAAGAGCCTCTCGTTGCAGCAGAGAGGTGAGTACACCAGTTAAATTTGTCGGATGATTATTCCAGCGTAAACAGAACTGCTGGTCCATAGCTCCTTGGTCAGTGTTGTACCTATGGAAAAATTTGCAATAAAAAAACAAAAATAGATAAATGCAAAATACAATAAATTTTAATGTTTGAAAAATAATTAATTAAAATTATGTAAATTAAATAAGTTCAAAAATATGCTCACGTTTTAATGTGATAGTTGAAAAAAAAAAACGTTTTTCACCTCTGCTTAGTAAGCAATTTTTAATTTAATTAATTCTTTTATCACGTGTTTCTGCCCCACTCTATAAAGTATTCGCACTGCAAGTGCATTTTTATGGCTCTATATAAAAATGAAGCCGAGTTTTTTTTTTCGCATGATCCTGATGTGCTTTTTTTCTATATATTGCGAAAGTGAATCCAAGTTACAAAAGCTATTTCTTTATGAAATTCTATGTCGACAACTTCTTATCCGAATTTGATAGAGAGTGAGACGGAAAAGATCATTGTTGATATATGATTTTCTAGATTTTTATTTTTTTTTTATTCTCGCCTACACAAGTGGTAATTAGTTGGAGCTTTGTTGAATTCGAGTTAATTTTTGCAAAAAAAAAAAAAAAAAAAAAAAAAAAAACACATGCATTACATTATGCATCTCTTGCAAACACATTAAATGCCATAATTTAGTTTATTGTTTATATACTCAGATTGTGTGTGTAAATCAATTTAGGAAAATATATTTTTGAATTTAATCATACAAACATGCATATGCTTTCGCATTAAATGCCCTGCCTAATCGACGAAGAGATTCCTTTATATGCATAATTTTATTTGTATATGCATAACATATAATTATATTTACGTTACATATGTTGCAATATTTTCTATTATTTATGCTTGTCACGCGCTTCCAATTAAGTTTAATATTAATTTGATAATTTCAAATCGTATTATAAGCAATAGTAATAATGACAACAACAACAAACAAACAAACAACAACAAAAACAACAACAACAAATATATTGATAATGCAAATTACTTTGCAACCAATACTCTTATTTACGCACGTTTAGATGTCTATGTATTATATACTTGGATAGAAAATGTAATACTGAAATGAATGCAGACGTATATGCACCAGATTGGTTTGATGCTACAAATAATGCATCGAAGAAAAACAAGTAACGCAACAAGCACGGATGAGTTTTTCTCTTTTTTAATATTAAAAGTTTTTCTCTCATGGGCTTGGGGACGTTGTAGGCGTGCCCTTTGAAAAGTTTAGGATAATTCCAAATTCTTATGCAAATTTGTAGGGTGACTTTTTCCGCGAACGGGAAAATATTTACTTACAGATACTAAACAGCTGTGCGGACGGATAGACGGACAGACCATGTTTAGGTGATTTGCAAATTTGAAACTAAACAAGGATTTATATAGAAGTATTGAAAAAGAAATTAAATTTTGATACACTGCAATATTCGGTAGGCGTGGTGAATTTGTTTCCAATTTTTGTATATATATGCTACACCGTCGTCCATACAATATGCTTACAAATTATAGCTTATGAGTTATGAGCAAAAAACTAATTTTTTATTACTTTTGAAAGAGTTGTTCCCAGTTAATGTGACACTCCGGGTTTGTCTTTCGACTGATTTGTCCCATTTTCACTAGCAATCTGCGTACAGGAACTTCTAATGTTTTTGCAAACTTGAGGTCGATAGCTTCATTTATGGGATCGCGAAAATGTTTGTGACAGCCATTATACAGATGGGTAAACAGCCAGACAGATAGACGGACATGCTTAAATTGCTTCAGAATTTCTTGCTAATCAAGAATACACATACTTTGCGGGGCCTGCGAAGCTTCTTTCTGGGCGTTGCAAACGTGTTGACAAAATGAATATACACCTCATCCTTCGGTCTTAGATATAAAAAAGAATTTGCTTTTAATTTTTTTAGGAAGAAAAAAAGTCCTATTGATCGTTTTGGGTATATTTTGGAAGAAGTAATATATTATTACTCAATAAGTTCGTAGAACGAGAACGAGATTTTCTTTAAAGAAAATGCTTTAAAATTTCATTACACTCAGGCCATCACTTAACGAGCTGCAGTTGTTTTCGTAACTCTATCTTTGTTTTTATCAGACAATGGAAAAATCTGAATTTCCTACCGGCCTATGTAATATTCAGAAGGATTTAAGATAAAACTAATCGATTTGAGTTCAGTTCGTGAATCGATTAAGGCATCTCTGCCCATCAGTATAACTGTCTGATGTCCGCTCAAAGTACGGATTGCATCGTCCGAGACATGCTATTGAAGTTTGATGCTTTGACGCGTGGACATAACATCTTCGGAGTGTATTGGAACACATCGTACTTACGATTATTCATCATTTGTCATATTAAGTTCTTTCTTGAAACAAGTTTTTCCGCTGTTATCTGGCATATTACATATACATATATATGTGCAAACCTTGAATGCGACAGGGCCATTTTTGGAATGTTCTTGATAAATAGGAAGCCTTCGTAAAGCATTCTAAGGGGATTCTTATCAAATTGAAAATTTAAAAAATCGATTTTATTTTTTAAATACCATACCTAGCGTTATCGATGAAAGGAGTCTCCTTTAGCACACGTTGCGAATTTTGAACGCCGATGATTATCCATCATTTCAAGTCTTATTTAAGAATAATTGCCTGTTTTATCTACCAGCGGATCTAAATTTTTATTTCTTTGCATACTGATGAAGACAAGAGTGCCTGCCAGTCTTCCGCAATTCTAAGCAAGCATTTGCTATAAATTGCGAGTCATTGACTGCAGAAATACGAAAATTATTTCTTCTTTCTTTTTAGATTTTAAGTATTGTGTGTGGGTGTACTGGCTAGTAAGCCAGATAACTCTAATTCAATTATAGAAATTAGACAGACATATAGACAGATGAATATGATTAAAAGCAATTCGAAATATCGGGACATGTCAAGGGTATATAAATATGAATTGCGGCATCATAATCAACAAAAGGGAATAATGAAATTGTTTATATAATATTTTCAGTCTCTTTTCTATTATTTTATTATAATTAATATCGTTTATCACAAGTCTGACTAGTAGAGTAACAAATATCTATCTGTCTGTATATCTTTCATCAAGTTTTAAATGCTAATAGTGATTAAAATTTCACTTTGCTGCAATATACAAATTTTCATGTTACGAATTTCTCCAGTCCAGTTAGTTGCCTATGCTTAGGATATTTACCGTTATTTGACCGTTTGTTTGACCACAGCTAACAGTATTTCGGTTTACCAGCTATAGTTATATAGTTTATTCACATCTTTATTATTATGTTTTGTGCGTACTACTCGCCTGTTTATACAATATGTTGAATGCATATTTATGTAAATACTTTTTCCTTTTTTTTTTTTTGTTTTTTTTTTATGTAAAATGACCGATAAATCTAAAAAATATTGATCCTAATAATGGGCATATAGTGTTAATGAGCAACGAATGCCAAAATTATGTATTTAGCAATAAATGCATTAATTTTGATCTCCTTATGGCTCAATATTTTTAAATCGCTCGATGCGTACGTGTAACATTTATTATAACTATCGCCTGCTGTTGCACATTTTTTTTTTTTTTTTTTTGGTTGAATTATATTTTAACTCTTAATTATATGATGACCAACTGGTGTTGACTCTAAAATGTTTTTCAATTTCAATATGGCTAATTGTTTTAATGACCAATTTTAGATATATATATATACATGTGTGTATGTGTATATATATATATATATAGGTATATAATGAATGAATGCCCGTCTAATTGACTCTTATAGTTTGCTAAATACTCTAAATTGTTGATAGTAGATAAAAACGTAATGAGTTTATCTGCAAGCAGTTCTTAAATGATAATTAACAGCGTGTTGTTAAATAAATGACATTTACAGTACAGTGTAACTATCTCGCTTCAAAATTAGGAAATATAATTTTTGATTTCAGCTAAATTAAGCGTATGATAATTTTTCATTTTTTTTTTTTGGTTTCCTTCAGAATAGTCAATGTAAAGACCGGTTGGTGTTAATGCTAATCTCAGGTTGAAACCACCAGGTTGGTTAGTATATATCGTATATGACGTTTTAACTGTCAATTCATTGAAGTCTGTAAATTATTAACGAAATGATTAAATATTTTTTTTTCAATTTCCCGTCAAAGGTAAATGCGAGTGTGGGGAAAATGTTTGCCATAGATAGAACATTTTTCATATCTTTTGCAAAACCGATAAAAACCTAAACTATATGTAATTGACTGTTTTAGGGCAGACACTTACTAATCGAATCGAATAACTTATTAAAGATGTGCTATTATCTTCTGGCGGCCCTGATGGTAGGTAAAAGATAAAGAAAAATGAAGATTTTCTTAATTTTTGTAATACGTTGAATAAACACATAGTCAGAAGCCAAGTCATTCAACACATTTTAGTTCAGTAAAAGATCACAAATTTTAAGCTTATTTCTTCTATGCAAAGAGTTTTAAGTTAAGAGAATTTGTTGTTTCGTAAGAGTGCTGATTAGGCATATAAAAAGAGTGCACTGCATAAAAAAAGCTTTCCCTTTCTTAGGATATCAACGCGAGTAATCAATCTCTTAAAATTTATGCATTTTTGCTGCGAGAGACGCTTACAAATACATACCTCATATATATATATATATATATATATATATATATATAAATTGTGCATTGTGTATGCCGGTTTTTGTATACTCATGATTGATGAATGTGCGAATGTGGGCATAAAAGCAACAACAAAAAATAAATAAATAAATAAAAAGAAAAAATTGCTGATACTTTACAATTTTTTGTTTACTAAGTAATAAAGGCAATGGCTTGTAATTCATTAAAATAAATGAAAAATTATTACAACTCAATGAGAATTACACTCGCACGCGTATACACACAAACACAATTGCATATAATCTATGAGCAAGTATGAAAAGCTGCTATGAACACCTTATCAATTAGAGATGCAGTATGGCGGGGGTGGGTGTGAAAAAAATTATGTGAATGCGGCGCTTACATTGAAAGTTTAA